GATGAGGCCCCTCTCTGCTGTGGGCGCAGGCCATGCCCTCCTCAGCAACCTCCCAGGGCTTGTTTCCTCGTGTACAAAAAGTGGAGGTACTACTATTACGGTCTAGTTTGGTTTCAGGCTTAAATGAGGAAACACATGTACCGTGTTGACAACGGTGCCCACTACTTAGTGAGTGCTCAGTAAACGTTAACTGGGGAAAGATAGTCAGGCCCCATCTGAAGAGTAGTTTGGCTTTTATTTCTTATTCATTTCTCTCTGTCATCTATTTTTGCTCCAAGAATGCCTTACTTTCCTGTTTCCCAAGGAAGAAACCTGAGGAGAGGGTGGAAGGGAGGCTGCGAGATGCTAGGCCCCTGTGCCTGGCAGGAACATAGGTCCTAGAATCGAGATTTTCAGCTCTGTGCATCTGGGGGACCACGGAGCACAGGCTCTTGAATCCTGTTGTTTTTCTCCTGCTTTTCTCGTTTCTCGTGCCCTGCAAGCTGAACTGGCTGGCTGAGCGAGGAAGCGTGCAGGGCAAGTTGTCCCTCTGTGATTGTAGGTCTGTGCATCTCTAATGCTTGGACACGTTGACCCCCACTTTTTGGAGAAGATGGTGCTCTTTTTGGAGAAGAGTGGCCCGATGGGAAGAAATCACTGTCTGAGATCAGACCCATCCTTTCCCTCCAGCACCCGGCACCGTGGCTAAGGCATTGTGGGTTTTCAGTAGAGAGTTATGATTCAGTACGTTCATTCTCAGGGTCCCTATTCTCTACCAGTTGCTCTGCCCTTTTTTGGAGGGAAGCTACTGCCGAGTTCCCCCTGGAGGTGGTACATCGAGTCAGAGGGCTGGAAAATCCCTCTGTTTCTCAGTTCAGCTAAGACCAGGGTAGTTTTTCAGAAGTGCTTTTTCCTTGTAAACCAACTGCAAGCAGAATAAACATGGGGTATAGAAATAGAAAGTGAATTTTGCAGTATGATTCAGCCGCAGTCTGTTCCCAGGTTGGCTGGGCCAGCTCTGCCCTCTCCTCACCCCTTCTCTCTCTCTGAGTTAAGTTCTTGGGTTACCAGCCCTTGGGGGGTTTGGGCTGCCAGGTTCTCAGGCCTGTGGGGTTCTCTGACACCCCTAGGACAGCCTGCTTCCCAACATTGTGTCCTTCATGGGAACTCCATCCCACAGTTTCTTCTTGGCTTTAAGCCATCCAGGTAACCTTGGTGGCAGTTATTGTTAATTCAAAAGAAATGTGTAATGGTTTTGAATAGGATTGTGTTCCTAGGGTACACAATTTTAAATATATAATGACCTACGCGGTGAAGAATTTCCCTTTCTGGTACCCCAGAAACTCAGTTCCCTTTGCCATCCCCCACCCCAAAGATGATACTATAACAACTGCTTTTTGTCTAGACTTCCAGAGCTTCTTTATGCCTATATGAGAAATATGTCTGGAAAAGCAGGTGGGGATACTCGACCCTTTATACAAGGTCCACAGACAACATGGTATGGTGTCTGCAAGCCAGCGCCTCCTAACTTCAGGGAGTACAGTTTGCTAAGGGGTTCTGTTGCCCTCCCTAATTTCCAGCAACAGCTCCAAGCTTCTCCACCCTCTTACTTGGGGAGGTGAAGAAGAGGAGACCAAACCCAGTGCGTTTATATGTAATTTTTAAAATGTATGTGTGTTGTGTGTGTTTAAAAATCAAGGTGCTATCTATTTCAGTGCCAAGGGCCTCCCGGAAAGCGAATCACACAGATACTACAGAACAGCAAGTGAGAGCCGTTTGACAAGTGACTGTGTTGGTGTTGCGTAAATAAAAATGGGTGTCTTTCTCTCGTTCTGCGTCTTGCATTTTTCTTTTTACTTCATGAAACTTAGATCTTTTCATAGCATTTCTTAGAGCACTTCTTCATTCCTTTGTTTTCTCCCGGCTGCACAGAATTCCATGGTCTGAATGAACCATAATTTTCCTGCGAGCACTTCAGTGATGCACGATTGTGCTGATTCCTGTGTTTTGCTGCAGTGAAAGTTCTGAACTCAGATGCAGTGACCTTGTCTAACCCATAACCTGCTCAGACAGAAATAAGACGGGACTTTGTACGGGACAGAGGAGCTTACTGATTCGCCCTCCCAGGATAAGAATAAGAGAGTGTTGACTTAAACGATCAGATAAGGTCAACTCTGTTTAGATCATTCTATGTGACGATACCTAGTGGCAAAGGTTTTGAACTTGGACTTGATAAAAGGACAAATGTGTGGTCCTCTTACCAAACCTGGTTATACCACTACGTCTAACGTGTAGAAGGCAGATTCCCACACCTGTGTCTGGTCCCTTCTCAGTAAAGGGTGAGGATCAACCTTATCAGTGTGGTGGAAGCCGTCTGGGTTCTGCTGCTTTATTCTTACCCATCCCCATCTTGCTACCCCTGGTATGGCTGCCTCTAGTTGCAGAGTCCTTTCTGCTCAGTCTTTGTCTGGGCAGTTGCATCTAGTTCACTCTTTAGCGTCTGCTCCGTTATCAGCTGATTCCTACCTCCAGCTTTGTCTTCCTGTGACGTCCTGCAGAATCCTGGCTTGGCCATGGCCTGCTGTAGCCCTGGCTGCACCATAAGGGGCCATGCCGTCCCCCTCACTGCAGCCTATAGGCTTTCCACCATCCCTAAGAAGTGCGGGGAGGAGACCTCTTGGGTTTCTCAGTGGGCTACTCCGTGATGGAACACTGCTGTGAAATGCCCCTGGGCAATCATGGCCTTCAGCCCCAGTTAACGATTGTTGTGCTTGGGCAGATCCCTTTTCCACCTTGTTCCAGGAAGGGCTCCGTGGTTCTTGACCTTGAAGCCTAGCCTGCCTCTGATCTCTTCTCTCTCCATTTTACCTGATGCGTCTTCGTGAGCGCACGGTTTTCCCATCGTGGGTTCCATGCTAGGAAACTCCAATCCTGAGTCCATGCTGAGGACACCAGTTCCACGTCATTGGTCTCAGGATCATGTTAGTTGCTCAGCATCGTGAATACTCAGATATGCTGGGGAAACTGTTTGGGGTAACCCATTAATGGGACTAGTTTTTCCCCATGTTGATGAAGCTTCTTCACCTCTGGTTTAGAGACTTCAAATCGCCATGAAGACTCAGTTGGGAGATGTCTTCCCTCAGAAGCGGCCTCCCTGCCCTCCTGTTTCAAAGCTCCATCAGGGGCTGCCCACTGGGTTTGCTACTTGTCTTAAGACTCTCCTTTAGAGCCCTGGCTGGCGTGGCTCAGTGGATTGAGCGCGGGCTGGGAACCAAAGTGTCCCAGGTTCGATTCCCAGCCAGGGTACATTCCTGGGTTGCAGGCCGTAACCCTCAACAACCACACATTGATGTTTCTCTCTCTCTCCCTCCCTTCCCTCCCTAAAAATAAATAAATAAAATCTTTTAAAAAAATTATTAAAAAGAAATTAGCTCACAAAAACAAAGAATTTTAATTAAAAAAAAAAAGACTCTCCTTTAGCCTCAGACAGCCCCGATGGCCTACCTGCCGTTGGTCCAGTGACCGATGCGGCCTTTTGTCTCTGTCAGACCTGCCCTTACCTGGGGGGGCCCCATGAGTTCTGTTGATGGGGTGGCCTTTCAGGAGCTTGCCATTAAATTGGATCTCAAAATGTAGTAGCTGCCACAGACACATTTTCTGTTCTGGGAAAAAGAAGGCATTTTCCTTGCTCAACACATACTCGCAGCTGTCCAGGGCTCCTTCTGGTACAGAAATTTAGATTGTGGGTGTCTCTTTCTTCTGTCTCAGTCCCTCTGGGTCTGTGTTCTGCACAGAACACTGTCTCGCTGCAACTTCCTGTTTATCCTGCACGTGGGAATGCGTTTTGAGGGGGGAGGTACACCCAGCAGGTGTTGTCAGAAGCGTTTTCCTCCTTAATAACCGTGGCTGGCGGGATGAGTAACTGGAATCGTTTGAAGTCATGAAGAGTGTCTGCCCAGGGACCTCACTGGGGCTGGGATCTAGTTTTTCTCATTTTTTTTTTTGTACCTTTGCCTGGTTTGGATCAAATTAAAGAAAGAGCAGGAGGGAGGGTCCCATGAGTTGTCACAGGGAGATGGAAATCTGGTGCCAATATGCCTATTTAAAAATTTTTTTTAGCACTTAAGACTCCTTAGGTTTGTCTCATGATTGTATTTATTAACGTGCTATCCACCCTCCTACCCCCCGCCCCCTGCCCCAGAATGGAAGCTCCATGAGAGCAGAGACCGAATCTGTCTCATTCACGTCCGTGCACCTGGGCTGGAACTATCTCCGGTCTGTAAAGGGCAGCTCAGTCACTGCTGCTGGGATAAAGACACCCTGCCCTCCCCACTGTGGTCCCCTTGTAGGACTGCCTCAGTCCCTCTGGGATGGGCAGTGAGTACCCCCAAACCATGGTGCCGGGTCAGTTGTCTCCAATGGATTCGGAGGAGGATGGGGTGGGGATTATGGGAAAAGGTGTTGAATTTTCACAAGGTCTGGGTTTGAATCTTAACTGTGCCACTGACTTATTGAGGGGGCTTCTCTGAACCTCCATTTCTTTATCCACATCGGAGGGGTAATAATGGGCCCTCCCTCCACACACACATACTCTCTCATCTTCAGTTGAAGAATGCATGAAAAATGCATTTTAAACCATAAAGCCTGCAAATGTAGGGGCTTACAAAATTGTGCTCTTTCTCTTCCTTGGTTTTTTGTCTGTCGGTTGGCTTGTTTCACACGAGGCGAGGGGCCCTGGCCTGCCTCCATTAACTCTGCTAGTTGGGGTCTCCGGTGGCTGCCTTCCTGAGGAGGCTGTCTTTGTGAAGTAGGGAGTGGATCCCCCTGTAGGGTTTTCATCACTCCAGTTCTCTGATAACGTGGGCACAGTGGTATTACCAGGGCCAAGGAGAGTGCACCCTTCCGAGGCCTGGCCCTGGTCCCTGTCACTGGACAGCCCTTCATCATCGCCACGTCCCTGTGACCTGGACAGCAGAAGCTGCACCTTCAAGGGCTGCTTGACGGTGTTTCTCTTTCCCCAGGCGGCTGCTGAAGAGTGAACTTGGATCGTTCATTACAGACTATTTCCAGGTAAGCTGGGGAGGGTCTGAGCACCTGTCATTATTGTGCATGTGGGAACGTGTGCCTAATGGGATGGCCAGTGCTATACACCTGGGCATTTGTTCAACATTCAAAATTACATACCCAGGTTCTTTCTGTGCCCGGGAGGCAGGTGTGGTCTCTGCTCTAGGGGATTATAGTCTTGGGCAGTGGTTCTTGGGCTTTTTGGTCTCGGAACCCCTTTATGCTCTTAAAAATGATACCTATTTGGATTATCTCTACCTATTTTCATATTAGAAACTAAACCTGAGAAACTTGACAATATGCCTTAATACACGTAAACAATAAACCCATTACATTTTGGCTTGAACAATTTCATGAAAAATAACTTGCGTAATAAAAAATAGAAGAGTGGCATTTTTTTATGTTTGCAAATCTCTGCCCTGTGTGGCTTCTTGGAAGGTAGCTGGATCCTCCTGTCTCCTTCCCGTTCGGTCTGTCGGGATTCTGGACGTCGTGTTGTTTCTGGACGACTCCACAGTACGCTCATGGAGGACACAAGGGAATGAAAGTCTGGCGTTTTTAAGGAAATAGTTTTGACCATGTGGAAAAGGTCGGGGGGATCCCCCAGGGGACCCCCAAGCCACAATTTGAGAACAGCTTTTTCTAGTGAAATTCCTTCCCATACCTATATATTATATGTACCCTTATATGGATGCATTATATGTACCCTTTAGCCACATTATTTCTTGTCGATAAGCCTCTTGGTCTGTTCTGTTAAAGATAGAATTGTGTCAGGTGATCTGACATTTCTCCTGCCTAAATGCTGTTGCTATGGGGTGAATGAGGTCAAGGTTCCAGGTTCAAGTATAGGACAGTTTCTGATGCACTGACATACCTGCCTCCCCTACTCTGCCCAAAAGCACGTGGAGAGAGGTGTTGCGTAGCACCTTAATGCAGTCAGCATGCCTGCTTATTGGCTGCCAGTGCTTCGCCTCTCTGTGCCTCGGTTTCCTCATCTGTAAAACAGGAATAAAAATATGGCCTACCTTATAGGTCGTTATATGACTTATATGAAATAACACATGTAAAGCACTCAGCACTTAGTGTATTTTGGGGGCAGCTTATGAGAGTGGTCAAGAGCATGGCCCTCAGGCTTCCTGGGTTCAACACCCACGATAGCCACTTGCTAGCTGTGTGACCTGGAGCAAGTTGCTTTACCTCTCTGTGTTTTAGTTTTCTGTTTGGTAAAAACAGAGGTCATTGGACCTAACCTTATAGAGTTGTCGTGAGGACTAAATAAATTATTACTTGTAAAGTGCTGAGAACGGTGGCTAGTACAGAGTAAGACAGTGGTGAGTATTCATTACATTTCTCTGTGTTCATAGTTCTTATTCTGAAGTGTGATCCACCTCTTTTAATGGGAAAGTGACAGAAAAACCCATGACATCGTGGTTTCAGGTTGGTGGTATTCTGTATCCAGGGTGAACATACTTCTAAGACAGTTTAAAGAGGTTTTAGGGTTTAAAAACCACATAGGCATGCTTCTGTTTATTTTTTTTTCTTTTTACGATGCAGGAAACAAACTTTTATGTGACTGTATGAGAATCACAAATGTCAGTCGTCACATGCACACACACGCACACGCAGAGGGAATCAGCTGCTCTGAACAGGGACACAGCGAGACCCCACAGAAGCCTGGAATTCGGCTGGGTCAGCTGCCTCAGCCGCTTGAAAGAGAGCTCCCACCCTGGGAGAGATGAACATAAAGATTAAGAAAGAGATAATTAGTCACAAATGTGAATCATTTCAGCTGCCCTTGACTCAAAGGTCAGCATTGTCCTCAGCTCCCTTCTCTTGCTGCCTCGAGTGATTGATTTTTAAGTCCAGCCACAGAGAAGTGGTTTTTCGATCAGTCCTGGAGCAGCCTGCCACCCCAGCCGCCTTCCTTGTTGACATTTAAAATAGACAGGGGTTCGTGCGGTTTCGATCAGGTTTGAAATGTCAAGTCGCCGTTTGGCTCCAGGGGCTACCCTGAGGCTGGGTGGGGACTTGTTTATCGGAGGAAGCCCTGAGGTTTGCTGGGCGGTTAATGCTGCTTTCAAAGTACCCAGACACTTAACAGCTAATACCCACGTGCCATTTTTCTGTTGAGCGCTTAATCAGGGAGACTGCTTGGTGAATATTCAGTCCCCGGGGTCGGGATCGGGGACTGCGTCCTGGTTTTCAGAGTTTTGAATGGGGTGGCGGGGGTTTCCTTGGTGTCGGGTATTAGCTGGGAGGTTAGGCTGCCCGGGACACTGTTCGTTTAAGTGTAGTTTTCAGTCTCGTGCGAGGTCGGAGCCTTTTTTATCTTTGACTGTGTTAGGTCCTAGGTATGTAGGAAGTACCAGGTACATAGTAGCATCAGCCACGCTTCTTAGGGGGAGCGGGTGGGCTTGTCCACCACTGGTATGTGAGGCGTCCTAGGTGGTCCATGCAGCGGCATTAAACAACATGAGCCCGTGTGGTGAGGGAGTGTTCCCCTTCCTTGTTTCCCTTGAGGGCTCCTGGTGGTGCCCGGGAGAGCCGTGGTTTGTGCCGCTGTCCCGTACACTTCTCTGCAAGCCTGGTGGCCTCCCACTTACCGTCCTCAGCTGGGGACACTGTGTAATTAGGATTTTACAACCCATTTTGTTTGTGTTGAGTTGATCATTGAGTTGCACTCTATTTATGGCAAATGATGTTGCTGTTGGTTCCTTTTTAAACATTAACACTCTTTAAAAGTGGGTCCATTTTTAATATGGAATAAAAAGAATAATAGTGTTGGCAGCCCTGGCTATGGCCAAATCGTGAGGGCGGTTCAGGAGAGACTCGGGTTTGGAAAGCCGCATGCTGGGCACTGCTTGAAAATGGGCTGGCTCCAAAGCAGAGCAAAGAAGAACTATCCCTGTGGGCAGGAACATCCGGGAGGGAAGGCTTACGAGGCCAGTGTTTACGTTCGACTAGCAGAAGTAGTTTTAAGAAAAAAATCAGCTGGGCTCCCAAAAGTTTGTTCCTCTGGCAAGGAGGTGGGATGAAGGTCTGTGACAGGCGAGGAACAGAACCCCGGGGGTGGACAGGTAAGACCCCAAAGCCATGCGTGTGGCTGTTGGGGGGCATGATGAATGGGCTGCCGGGCACTGGGCTTCTCAATGTGGGACAGGATCAGAGGGTGGCCTCCCAGCCATGCCGTCCGCATTCGGCAATGAAGTCCGTCTTGTCCCAGAATCCCAACCTGATACCACCCACCTCTCATAAAGCCATCTCTGTGACTGCTTCTCCCTTGGAAGGTGAACACAGTTCATGCTGCAGCTTTAAAGAAAGACTCACAGAAGAAGCATCTCCAGTGGAGAACAATGAAAATGCCTCGAGGTGAGGCAGGGGGAGAGCACCTGGGAAATAGCACTCATCTCCTGTCCGCACGCATAGAGTACAGGCTGCTCTGTCTGCAGCAGCAGAGACTTCCATGAGACGCTGGCCGGAAGAATCTTTGACATTTCCAGCATGGAGTTTTCTTTTCCTCTGTTTTGAATTGCACCTGGAAGGAAAGTTGAGGTTTCTAAGAGGAACTCTATCCTGGTGAAACCTCCGAGGGATAATCAGTTCCTTATAGCTTTGGAAACCGGTGATATGAAGGGCTTTGCATTTTTCTGTCGTGTAATTGGGCACCTTGGTGGTTCAGGCCATGGCGATGGGAGGGTTTGCCCCTCTGCCGTTCTGCATGTGCTGGCTGCACTGTGTTCATGAAAAGCTTTCCTCCAAGCCCAGAAAGTTCCGTTTCTTTTGGTTGGAGCTAGTTTTGCCTGATATAGAAATTCACTCTACAGTCAGTGGTTCTGAACAAGGTAGCACTTAGGAAAAGGGAAAATTAGTTACCACAGTTGCCAATAGGTAATGGGCCCGGTAATGTTTGATACAAATATTTCCATTTGCTGCCCATGTCAGTGAGGGATCCAGAAGGCCCGTGTCCCCTTAGCCCGTTATTATCAGGGAAGATTCACTGGGCTCGTGGCACAGGACAGAAAGCTGGAGGAAGGGACCCAGTGTCCCTGCCGCCATGGAGTTTGGAACTGAAGACAGTGCAGAGATAAGGATGCATCCACACAGGTGACACACAGCGTGGTGTTAAACTGAAGACCTGAATGGACGGTAACAGCCCAGAAACAGGCCCTGAGTGAATACATTTTGGAGGAACAAAGATGGAACTTGGAGGAATCTATAGGAAGTTGGGTAGAGAAATGATGGAGAGTGGGGAAAAATTTTTGATGCTTTTCAAACCCACCTTAAATAGGGTGGAAAAGCTTTAGCTCTTCTTTGATCAATATGGGAAGGCTCCTAACGTGAGTGGAATTCCCAAAGTGGAAAAAGAGATACTTAGGTGGATAGAGGGTCGTATGGGACAATTCACATGTACTCTGCTTTGAATGTACAGTTGGGGCCATTAGACAAAAGGGCTTTGAGCAGAGGAGCTGAGGTCCAGGGAGAAGACAAGAAGGTGAGAAGGTCACTAGAGGTTGCATTTGGCATTTGGCCAGTACTTGGAAGAAAGGCATTGTCGGGGGGGAGAATGGGATGGCGTCAGTCAGGGTACTGTCGGGGGTGGGGTCTGCCCGCCAGGCAGGGGTTCCCTTTCATCAGCTTCATTCTATTTACTCTCCCTGGCAATTACTTGAATTTTGTGCAATTATTTGAATATTTTTATTACACTCTTCTCAAATTTTATGAAGATGAATGGAAAGATAAATCCCGAAATTGGTAACCATAGGGCTTCCTATAATTGAGATAAAGATGAAAATCAGTAGGCATGCTGAAATGGCAAATCTTGGGCCTCATTGGACTGAGGTTATTGCACATTCAATTGCTAAAGAAGGAACATGTAGGTACAAAGTACCGAAAATACATCAACCAAAGATGAGCTTCGAATATGCAGTTAATTAGGGATTTTATCATCCTTTTGAGCTTGATGGGAACAGAACACCTCCTTATATCCTGTAAGTGTCTTGTTCCAC